CATGTTGTACTCTGGCAACGTTCTCCCGGTTGGAGTAGACGACCCGCGCGAAAAGCTCAAAGATAACGTCCTGCTTCTCCCGGCTACATTTAGCTTGCGTATTGAGGAGCTCTCCAACTCTGAAACAAGTGCGCATCATGATCGTCGAAGAGAGTCCAACGACCACAGAGCGGTCTCTCATTTTGTCGGGGAAAGGGGGTCTGACTAAGGGTGCCGGGCTCGAATGCTCTTTCAGTGATTCCTTGGTGCCTCTAATGCTCATTTCAGTCTCATGATCCGGAGAAGCGCCAGCCGCAGTTGCTGCGCATTTTGTCACAAGCTCCCAGTCGACATCATCATCAAGAAGATCAGGTTCAGTCAGACCAGTCTTTAAAGCTTCGCTCGTGTTCATATCAGGCTCGGAGAACTGCAATTTGGAGTCGAAGCTTGAAGCTGATCTCGAATCGCAGTCCATCTTCCGTATGACGCTTGGCGGAGGGAAACCAGGAGGCTCGTTCCCGGTATCTTCTAGAAGCTGAATCATCTCTTCTTCGTCAAAGCCTTCGAGACCATAGTCATCTTCGACAGTTTCTTCACTCTTTGACGACGATTGGGCAAGGCGATCGACGTTGAGCTCAGGAAATGGCTTACCGAAATCTTCATCCACATTAGACAAGGTCTCAGATACGGCATCGTGGTATTCACCAGGTAGTTTCTCCATCGGGACAAAACCTTCGCCCCCAACGCTGTCCAGATCTACGTAATCCATCCAAAAATCTGACAGATCGGGCTCTGCCACAAAAACATGCGTGGTAGTTTGCAACGACGAGATCGGCGGTGTCTCGGGTATCTCGACAACGTCATCATCTGGGCTTGTCGGGATCTGTGGAGACTGCGGGAGGTCTACGGGAGGGTACTGCTGCCTTGAAGTTGCGACAAGATTCGCTGGAAAGCCGGGCTCGAATGACATCTGAGGCAGGCCCTCATGATCGAAGATGTTCGGTCCCACGCAGGCATCGACAGCCAACCGCTTCAACGGAGAAGAAATTGCAAAAGATGAGCTCGGCGTCAGAGGTCGTTTTGGAACGTTGGTGGGCTCGAAAGCACTGGCGACATTTTGCATAGTGGACGTCGAGTCTGCGGTATGTGGTACTTCGAAGGTGTCAGTCTTTGCTAGGTAAGAAGACATGAGGAAATGCTACCAGACTACTTCTTCCGTGATTTACAAACGTCTTCAGCCTTGAGCTACGATGGCATACAGAGAGCGGAAGTCTAGACAGTCGACGTTCTGGCGGCTCGATAGTAAGTGACAGTGCTATGAGGGAGAAGAGCACGATGAACAGGCAGAGGGGAAGGTTTCAAGTAGGCAATGGAAGTTCATGCAAATGTGTATTGCTTCTTGGACGGAAGGCGGGTTCCTTCCTTTCCGAGAGGTACCTAAGGCATTGAGTTCAGGCAGTGGCTGCGATGCAGGGCAGGAGCGAGTGCCGTTGACCAGGTGAAGGAGTTGGTGACAGGAAGGAGCAAGACCATCTGCGCCTCCCTTTTGTTATCTTTTCTTCTTTCCTCGAAACTAATGGAAGGTAGCAAGAGGAAAGAACTGAGTCGTGGTCAAATCTGCGTGCAGTTCCTGGGGCAATGTGTCCTTCCGGGAATAATCCAGAACCATGGCATTTGCAACTGAAAACACCACCATACATAGCCAGGCAGTGCTCCTTGTCACTTCACGATGCCTTCACTGTGCTACCTGATCAGATGAGGGATTCATTTGATCGCGTCTTGGACTTGCCTATACGAAGACACCAATCTTCTGAAAAGCCGTCACCATATGCACCGACTCTCAATCATTAGCCTCGCCGCCCTTGTCGTTGTCATCAATAGCCACAGAAGACCGGTAGTCTCGTCCTTCCACAATGACGAGCATCTTGCTCATCTGCCGAACAGCTCTCGCTTGGCAGATGATCCCCGATGGCCGATGAATGCAATAGGAACCAGATCCAACTACCATAAGTTGTATGTTGGCCGATGCCTATTGAACTGAACCGCTGACACCTGCTTTACCCCTAACAGTCTACTCAATTGTTCTTTGCCAACTCAGGAACACAAACCGTTGTTCACTTGAACATGTGCAGCTGGTCCAAATTATCTGGTGAGTTTTCGACATGTGCAGCTACAGCCACTGATGTCGATGCCGCCGCTGGCACGGCAACACTGAGACACGGACAAGACAACGACGTTGAAGGGTCTCCTCCTCCACCGGGCTAACGACACACCCCGAAAAACATCTTTTAATGAAGACTGGCAATAGTATGATATGGACTACCATATCACGTATACATCACAAGATATCCTACCGAGGATAGACTGTGGCCCCTCACCAAGAGGAGAGCGCGCGCCGAGGCGAGTCACGAAGCTATTCGCAACCCGTGGCTCGGTCCGCGCAGCGGAGGCACGGGTCGGAAGTGACATCAACCCGCATTCCCGAGCAAGTCAGGAGCTCTAGCCGTTCAAGAGCAACGAGACAGAGATCGTCGCTGCCATGAGGTCGATTATCTCGATTTTATCAATCAGGTACGATGCCGCCGCCTCGGTTTCGATGAGAGTGCTCCCAAAGGGTCCCAAACAGACTACGTCAGAACGAGCATGTGCCCCATTTGGAAAGCGAACCCTCATGAAAGCCGCATGGGTCTCGCGCGCTATCGGGTTGGCGGCCTGTCTCAGCGCCACGAACCTGTCTCTCTGTTCAAGACTGAGACCAAGCAGCCGCGGCGCTGGGGGATAAACAACAGTGGAAAAGGGGGTAGAAAGATGCCTCGGCGGCTCGGACGTTGCAAGCAATTAGAGAACGTTTAGCGGACGGCGGGTAGACCGTCGGCGGTGATGTCAGTCCTTCAGTCAGGTGAGAGCGCAAAGGAGCGAAGCGTTCTGTGTGGTTGGCGCGTTTGAAAGTTAGCTCCCGCGGAAGTTGGGCCATGTGGTTCCGGGAAGCGCTGCGCTGGCGTCCAAGGTGTCAAGGGCTAATCAGTGCGAGCAAGCGTACAAGCGGAGGGGTGTGTGGGTGGGTGGTGTTGAAGGATGCCCGTGTAGGAGGATTCAAAGTGTAGAAACCGAAGGCCGCACGGGTAGAGGATCGATTAGCCATTGCTGAAAATAACAATTGACTATCATCCGGTGTTTTCAAATAATATCATTAAAATAATAATTAAAATAACGTGTCAATAATATTGTCGAAAGCCAAGGTCTGGCGAGAGACATGGCAAAGCTACGTCTGCTCCCCAAGGTTCAACGCCGCACATGTCTGCCGGCTTATTAGTCACCTCAGGCACGGGATGAGATGACACATGCTGGCGCTCCTTCATCTATGGCTTGCCATGTGAGTGAGGCGCTCACTGAATATCCAAACGATGCGATACCGCAACGTCCGGGGCTTCTCATTGCACGCCCAACCCGTATTTTTGACCACTGGCAGGCTCTCACTGCCTCCCGGATCTGACGGAGGGGGGGATCAGCCACTCCCCCGTTACTTCGCATGGGGGGCTGGTGCAGTGCGACTCGAGGCGGTGCATCCTCCAAGGTCCCAAAATCGAGGTTACGAGATATGCAATGGAACCGTCCCTCGTCGTGAGCCCAGGCAGAAATCAGCTGCAGTCATCGATTGGAGATGCCGAGGATTGTATTTGGGGGTCAAGGTACTCGTGGGGAGGGCAAAGCAGCTACCTTTGGAATCAGACACCCGACTCGACTTGCCGTATTTTGACTTTTGAATCTTTTGCCTTTGGGGGCCTTTCTGATGTTGAGTCACGTCCTGCGAGTATACGTTCAACAAAGGCTCTTTTTGGGAATTCTCGGGGGTGACCTTAGATACGGATTTCAACCAGTCAATCAAGGCCTTGATGAACACATGGACTGTCTTGCATGAGGTGCCATCAACAAGTGTCAATCCGTCATCCTGGTAGCGATGAGCCTGGAGAGACAGGGCAGAAACCCGGTTGCCTTTTGTTTATTCTCCTTTTTATTATTTTGTTTTTCTCGGAACTTATGGGGAATTTAGCGCTGCGATGGAGAGACCGTCTCGCTTGCGAACCAGACCCTGGATACTTGTGGAAAGACAAAGTACAAGTGAGATTGCCATTGACGGGGTCTTAACCACTACCTTGAGCCCGTCATCGCCGGCACAATCCAAAGACTGAAAGTGCTATCACCGTTTATGAGAAGTATTGAAAATACCTCTTTGAAGATTGTGAGCGCAATCATGGGCACGGAAGACATAACATGAAAGGGAGTGTGGCAGTAGGGGCTGCAAAACAGGCGCATCGTACATTTACCCAACTTCTTGGGATCAGATATGGACGCATCAGATCTGGTTGATGCAAGCAGAGACATATGACCGGGGGCTACTAAAATGAAAAATAAAAGAAAGTAAGATAAATCATTAAAATAATGAAATAAAGATAAACAGAGAATAAAAAGTTGAACAAAGATATTGATTATCTTCAGCTCAATTTCTGGCATATCACCAACTCATACACCCACACACATACGGACAAACACACCACCATCTTGAACTGAGCCCCACCGTTTCCCCCCAGATGACAGCAACGGGACCAACTACAGACACAGCTGCTAAAATGGTAGCGCCGACGGTCCGCCACCGTAGCCTCACCAAAAAGGAGTGCTAATCCGCCAGCGCGTCCGTCTTTCTTCCATCCCACCCTTTCCCTTCTTCACCTTTCACCTTTGTTTCCTTCACACCCCCAGACGCATCCCGGGTCTGGGCTCCCAACTCCCGTCCCCTCACCGCTCGGGAGGCTGACTTGGACTTGCATATACACCATGGTCACCAGGCCCTCTTCCTGATGCGCTGGCATCTCTCCCTTACTTCTCAGCGTTGCAGTCGCAGTCGCCAGGGCTCTGTTTACCATGTTTACCGGCAGCAACCTCAAGGAATCGTCATTCAAAAGGACCCTAGAGATAAACTCACCACCACCATCCGACGGGAAACAAGCCTCGACATCTTGTCGATGAATCGGCTGATGAGGCAGGCCGTGCTGCCTCCGGACTCTGCTACCACCAAATTGGCCTCCCAAGCGTTCAAAGACGTCCTGGTCGTATCTCATCGACATCGAGATGAGGGAACAGCTGTCACATCCCACGCACGCAGACTTCCCGAGGCGCCCCCGTACGTACCGTACCGCATCTAATTGAATACCTTGCCTTTTGGTACCAAACATCCTCAACACGATTGAGGATGGTGGCGGCCGGGCTGCATTTCCGGTCGGGCACTACATCACCACCCGCTGCATCTCCCGGCGAATCCTCTCCCATGCCTTCCCGCCGCGCCGGTCTGCTGCCAGGACAAGGTGAGCACTGAGCACGGGGGTTGACAAACACAAGATGCAGAGGACCAGATTCTCCCTTGACCGAGTTGCCAAATATCGCAAAACGCCGTTGACAGCCTGTCAACCGCTGTCCGTCTCGTTATCACGGGTGCCCCCGTTTGGAGAGCGGTCGCGTCTCCTCCACTCGCCCGTCTCCAACCTTTAACGTTTCGTTACTCTGATTTCATGTCCCTTTGAAGCTCACCAAGCTTCTGCGCCTTACATGCAACCGCCGCATTGCTGCATCCGTCGCAGTTCCCCGGGCCAACTGGCATTCGATCTTTATCGTTCTCGATACGAAATGCACGCCCGCCCAAACCGCAGTCTTTCACACCACAATTGCTGGTAGGCTGATGGCATCTTTGCGACCGGTTTCTCTTTCGCCCCGCCTGGACCGAAAGCCTACCGTTCTTGGGACGTCTATCTACGGTACGACATACACCTCCCAAGTTTTCGAGATCAACTTCACCGTTGTGCTACACGCGAAGGTGGCGTCTGCCGTACCTCCCAGCAATGCCGGCCAAACGTGCAACTAATCCCCCTCTTTCCTCCCCTCCTTGAATGCAGTACCCGCGATCGTCTCAATTCTAGATGCGTCGTTTTGCCGCCCAAGGGCAGCAGTGATACGGAAGGCTGCTGATAGCCCCTCATGCCTTGAACCCTCCACGTTTCCCGGTTACGGACAGCAGCAGCGGCACTCCCATACCGAGGGGTCATTTGGTGCCCGCATATGCGGACAAGATGCGAGGCCAGGTGAGGCGGCAAATCGCCGTGCCCGCTGCCGGATTGTCGGTGTGGCTTGGAGGCGGCCACAGCTTGTCACGTTCGCATGAAGGGCCATTGTCACCGTTACAAAATGCCCCCCAACTACCTCGAACCTCGAAGTTTCTTCCTCTTGTGACATACCAGGAACCAGGACTCGATGTTCCTGCGTCTTGTTGGGCAGCGATTGAGCACCACTTTCGTTGGTTTCCCCGCGGCGGGGGCTGTCTTCGGTGACATTATTCTCTTTACCGCCCCCTCCATTCTTTCGACCAGCAGGTGTATTTGTGCTGGGCATCACGTTGTTGAGACACGCCAGCTCACGCATATCCGATTATCATGCAGGGTGTCATCCTTCCTGTGCAGCTGTCACTTTTCCTGCCAGCAAGCTTTACCTCGGGGGTAAGCTTTATCACTAATACTTTGATCATTTTGATCACGAATCCTGGCGATGATGCCTGGAATTGCCAAAATTGACACCCGAGTTTGCGCAAGTGAACCTGAATTTCCCATTTTGAGGCGCGGACAGTAAGGCTGTTACACGGCGGTACGTAAAGTGGATGCCAGACTTTCCGTTTGTCTCCTTCAGAGGTCTCTCATTTTTAGTATTCAATATTTTCTACCTTATTGAAAGAATGCTGTCGAGAAGGTAATGGTGTTGATATATCGATGGGATTTGAATGGTCAGCTCGTTTATTCCCACCGTTTTAAACGCCATCCACAGGGATCCAGTCGTACGTAATGAGGCCATCAGCGCCTCGCTGGCCTGCTTCGTTTCTAAGTATTGGCAACACGCGGTAATCTGCAGGGGGCAAGGTACCAAGTAATATACATTGTTGCGAATAAGTGGCTACGAAAATGTCATTTCATTTTTTCATAGAGTCATTCGGGTAAAATTTTGCAGTGTTTTTGCTTCTCTTTCTTTGCGGGTCATAAGCCGTGTAAGTGTTCCGATCGGGTCTTTTGTGGACACCCGGGGCCGAATGGGTCCACTTCAGCTCCGGTCAGCGGGAAGTTCGGATGTCAAAGTACCTGTTGTCGGTCAACCCGAAATCTGCCCACGCTCAAGAATGACTCCTGAATCATTCTAGCTAGGCTTTACATGTTTAGTGGGACGAGATTTTCCTTCTGTCAGAAGAATACCATTAAAGGTAAAAAGATGACCAATCAAGGAGATACCCAGGCGAGGATGTCTCTTAGCGGGCGCGACATTTCCTACAGATGTATCGCTGGAAAATTATCATGAACATTTCTTGCCTCGCTTGTATTCCAAAACTCTTTGCAGTCCGGCTCATCAATCAGGGTATTTACCATTGAATAAGGTACGAGCCTACACCTGACTTGAGGCATCCGCATTGCCGGATATTGAAGGTAGTCAGAGCCACTTGACGGACATAGTGCAAACCACTCATTATCTGCGGCACGGCAAACTTCTCTAGCGTCCCTGAAGCTTTAATCTGAATCGTGCATATTTATTCATGACTTGTTTCCCACTATCGAAGATGAGTCGACCGGCGTCGATGCATCTCGTCTGCAGGTGATTGGTGACTGGCAGCAGAAACAAGACCGTGCACTAACACGTTTGCCGGCTCCTCCGGCCGAAATCTGTTAGCGTCGACAAGTCGGCGCCCCATTATGAGTCACCTCGACTAACCGCAGCGTAACGCAACGCCGCTGAAAGTCTCGGCACCCTGTCAGTGTCGCGGTTGCAGATTGGGAAGCGACTCGGAGATTCCACTACATCCGGTCCGGGGCCAAACCCACCTGGGCTCATCGTCAATCATCGCCACCCGACTGACTACACGCGGAATTGTCAAATACAGCCTCTTCGCCTCGACATCATCCCGAACGACCTCTTTCCGACAGCAAACCTTCAATACTCGCCTTTGCCAGCTGAGGTAGCTCATCAAGAGACGGACAAGCACTGCTCCACCTGCAGTCCACCCATTTCTCTCTGTTCATTTTGCATTTCATCCCGTTCAGCTCATCCACAATTTCCAACGTTGAGCATTTCCAATTCCGTTCACCACGCGCGAACATGATTTCCCTCACAAAACAGGGCGGCAATACGCACCAGCAGGCCGTTCCCAGGCCTCGCACCGACCGCGTGGTCCCCAAACCCGTCCCGGAGGCTCAGTCCAAGGATCCCCGCGGCTATCAGCTCGAGCAGCTGCGCAAGCGCTACTCGCCCCGCGAATCCACCGCCGCGGACGGCACCACCACATCCCTGGTCTTCCGCATCAAGCCCTCGGATCCGGACTTTCCCTTTGAGCTGGAGCACTTGCAGTGCGACCTCCGCGTGCCGGAGGACTACCCCGATGCTGTCCCCGTCCTGCACGTGCGGAATAGCGATATCTCGCGCGGCTTCTGCATCAACATTGAGCGCGGGTGGGAGAGGCTCGTCGAGGAACGCCGGGGCGCTACGCTTCTCGCCCTCACCTACGCCCTGGACAAGAACCTGGAAAAGTTCCTGTCCGAGCAGGAGGTGGCTACCGTGAAGTTGGTCACCTACAAGGACGAGGGCGTGAAGGATACCCGCCACCTCGAGGCCGCGGCCATCGCGGCCATCCCGGGCCCGGCGACCCAGATCACAAAGACGCCATCCCCGGCCCCGGCGCCGCCGTTGAGGCACTACACTCCTGAAGAGTACTTCACCAAGGAGGAGATGGCGGCTGCCAAAGCCCGGCGCGCGCAGGAGACGCGGCAGTTGGAGACACGCATGGGACGGCTGTCTCTATATCGCCGATCGCCGGACGGCATCGTCTACACGCTCCCTCTAGAGCCTCGTCGCCGTGCCGAGCTATCTCCCGGGTTGCAAGGCGTCAAGACGGTCCATCTTATTGTGCCGCTGCTGTACCCGCTGCAACCGCTGCGTATCCAGCTCAACGAGTGTGACTCGCAAGACGCCGAGCCCTTGGAGGAGCTCTACGTACAGAAAGCAGCGGAGCAGAAGCAGATGACTCTCACGAGCCACCTGAACTACTTGGCTCAGAACATGCACGTCTTAGCAAAGCAAGCAGCGGCGCCGCCTAAGCCTGCTGCTTCTCAGGCGGTGTCAAACCAGGAACCTGAAAAGGATTCCAAGGCAAAGGCACCGGCCATGGATGACGATGACCGCAGCCATATCAAAGTTATCCCGCGTCCACCGGAATGGAGCCGTCCCGGCGCCGGTGAAGACAACACAGATTCGTCAGACAGCTACGATTCAGAAGACGACTCGGACGAAGGCGGCGCCGACCTCGACGCAGAACCACCCAGCCTCTCCTCCGGCCTCACCCCGGAAAGGGGCACATCCATCTCCTTCCCGACCATCGAGCTCCACTGCATCGAGCTCTTCCAGGTCTCCATCCTCAACCTGAGCGTCAAATGCTCGCGCTGCAAGACCATCAACGAGATCACCGGCCTCAAGCACGAGGTCCCCCAGACCTCCACCTGCCGCAAATGCGCCGCCGGTCTAGCAGCGCAGTTCCGCCAGACGCTCGTCCACGCAAACTCCACCCGCGCCGGCTTCGTCGACCTCACGGGCTGCACCGTCTCCGACATGCTCCCCAGCACCTTCGTCCCCGTCTGCGCCAAATGCTCCACCGCAAGCCAGGGGCTCGTCGCCGTCCGCGGCGACGCCGTCACGAACGTCTGCCGCGCCTGCCACGGCAAATTCACATTCAAGATCCCCACCGTCAAGTTCTTGGCGCTCTCCGCGGGGGGGCTCGCGGCCCCGACGACGGGACCCGTGAAGAAGGCCGAGAAACTCGGTCTCCACGCGGGCACCCCGCTCCCGGATCGCGGCGCCTGCGCGCACTACCGCAAGAGCTACCGCTGGTTCCGGTTCTCGTGCTGTGCGAAAGTGCACCCGTGCGATCGGTGCCACGACGAGGCGGAGAACCACGTCAACGAGTGGGCGAACCGGATGGTGTGCGGGTGGTGCAGTCGCGAGCAGCGGTATTCGCCCGAGGCGTGTGGGTTCTGCGGCCGGAGCGTCATTGGGCGGAAGGGCAAGGGGTTCTGGGAGGGCGGTAAGGGTACGCGGGACCGTAAGTTGATGAGTCGTAAGGACCCGAGGAAGTTTAAGAGGGTCGGTGGTGGTGCGGCTGCTGCTGCGAAGAAGGACTGAGGTGGATGCACGATGGGCCGTGTTGGTGTTGGGATGATTCAGCTTCCTGATAGGAATACGCATTTCCATCACTGAATAAACATCGTAGTACCAGAACATGCAGGCCTTATGAGATGTTCGGTGCCCTCTTTCCCTAACAACAAGCATGGGGCCTGGTGACCGAGAGGTGAAAGCCGTGAAGTGCTGACTAGTACGTGATGCTCCGTACTCTTCAGGACTCCTGCGTTCGAACCTCGGTCGGCTCCTGTTGTTTTTTTGCCTTTTCCACCCCCAGATGTCAATATCCTACTATT